AAGATTTGGTTGGTTCGTTGGAGGGGTATAAGATTAGGATTGTCGAAAGGAAAGGAATTCAAGACTCGATACAAGCACTACAGGCTCAGTCATGGAAGAAGAATGATGGTTCTAACAAGTTCAAAGGAAAAATCAACAAGACTCAGGGCAAAACATCTAGGTCGAATCCTCACAAGAATAAGGTTTATTATAGAGCCTCTGAATCCTCGAAAAGAGGAGAAGAAAATTTCTATCAGAAAGACAGAAGAAAAAGTGTGAAGTGCTATAACTGTGAAAAATGGGGCCATTTGGCCAAGCAATGTTGGTACAAGAAAGACAAAGGATCGACGAAAGGCAAGGTCGAAAGAGCAAACCTTACACGTCAAGATTCAAATGATTATGACAATATGGTGGTTATGGTTGCAGTTGTAGATGACCATGTCGAATCCAAGATTTGGTTCCTCAGCTAAGGCTGCTCGAATCACATGACTGGTCGAAAAGTATGGTTAGTAGATTTCAACAAGTCGAAGAAGAGCAAGGTCAAACTTGGTGATAATAGCTCGTTGCAAGCAGAAGGTACTGGTAACATAGTTATTCTAAGGAGTAATGGAGCAAAAGCCTTGATCAAAGATGTACTTTATGTCCCCAGAATAAAGTGTAATTTACTAAGTTCATGACAACTGGTCGAAAAGGGGTTTTTAGTAGTTATGAAAGATGGAACCTTAGAACTTTTCCACATCCAGAATAACTTGGTCTTGAAATCTCCTATGTCAAAGACTAGAATTTTTAAGACCATGATTAGTTCGAATGAGGTATAATGTCTGAAAACAGTTATCGACCACAAGAATAGTTGGTTGTGGCATCTGAGGTTTGTCCATCTAAGCTTTAGGTCACTCAATCAAATGATCACTCAAGATATGGTAACTGGTATACCAAGTCTTGAGATGCCTGACAAACTTTGTGAAGGTTGTCTAGTCAGAAAGCAGTTCAGGAAATCTTTCGTTTCGACTATGCCAATGAGATCATCCTGCATACTCGAAGTTGTACATTCAGATGTATGTGGCCCTTTTGAAGAGCATACCATTGATGGAAACGTGTATTTTGTTTCGTTTTTCAATCATTTTAGTCAAAATCTGTGGATATATGTGATCAAGAGAAAAGACGAAGTATTCGAAATCTTTAAGAGATTTAAGATGCTTGTCGAAAATCAGAGTGAGAAGAAGAACAAATTTCTGCAAACAGATGGAGGTGGCGAATACACATCTAAGATATTTGAAACACTCTATGCAAAACATGGTGTTGATCATGAAGTAACTTCTCCTTATACTCCTAAACATAATGGAATAACAGAAAGAAGAAACAGGACCATAGTGGACATGGCGAGATGCATGCTGAAGTAGTAGAATTTGCCAACGTTCTTATGGGGTGAAGATGTTTCAACTACTGTTTATATTCTGAACAAGTGCCTTACCAAGAAGCTGAAGAACAAGGTTTCTAAAGAAGTGTGGAGTGGTAAACGACCATCAGTGAGTCATTTTAAAGTGTTTGGATCTATTTTCTACAAGCATGTTCTTGATGTAAGAAGAAGAAAGCTTGATGAGAAGAGTGAACCTATGATTCTGGTAAAATATCATAAGGCTGGAGCATACAGACTATTCAATCCAATGAACAATAAGATCGTGATGATTCGAGACATTGTGATTGATGAGAACTCTTCTTGGGATTGGAATTATAGTGATCTAACTAACAAACCATTGATGAGCTATGATTTTGACGAAGCAAGTAATGATATCGAAGTCAAATATATTGTCGACATTCCAGTTGAAGTCGAAGATGTTGCTGAAAAACCCGAACCAGGCGATGTCGAAGAGGATATGGCTGAAATAAGCCAGAGACCTCAAAGAACTAGAGCTCGTCTAGCAAGACTTCAATACTATGAAATGGTTTGTAATAATGAAGTCACAACAGATGGAGAACTGGTTCCTTTTGCTTTACTTGCAGGTGTTGAACCAATCAAATATAGTGAAGCCTTCAAATATAAACAATGGAAGTCTGCTATGGTTGAAAAGTTACAAGCAATCGAAAGAAACAACACATGGGAGTTGGTCGAATTGCCAACACACACAAAAGCTATCAAAGTGAAATGGGTGTTCAAGTTGAAGCATAATGTTGATGGGTCGATAAAAAGACATAAGACGATATTGGTAGCTCAAGGATTTATTCAGAAATCTGGACTCGACTACTTTGAAGTATTTGCACTCGTCACAAGATTGGAAATTGTTTGACTAGTAGTAGCCTTGTCATGCAATCAAGGTTGGTCGACAATTCACATAGATGTGAAATCTGCATTTTTGAATGAACCTTTAGATAAAGAGGTGTATGTCACACAACCTCCTGGGGTTGTGATTCAGGAGGAAGCAAGGAAAGTATACAAGTTCCACAAAGCGCTTTATGGTCTCAAGCAGGCACCTAGGGCATGGAACAAGAAGATCGACTTAAATTTGGTCGAATTGAGATTTGTCAAATGCAAATCTGAGTATGGTGTCTATGTTTAGGTTGTGGCACAAGATATAACAATCATTTACTTATATGTCGATGACTTGTTAGTAACTGGCAGTAGCTTGGAGAACTTCTTGTCGAAGTTCAAAGCGCTGATGAAAAAGGAATTTGAAATGCCGGGTTTGGAAAAGTTGTCGTACTTCCTAGACATGAAATTTTAAATGTCGAAGCAAGGTATGATGCTACATCAAAGAAAGTATGTCAAAGAGATACTCAAGAGATTCAGAATGGATGATTCGACTCGTGCATCTTTGTCTATTGAACCAAATTTAAAGTTGGAGAAGCATGAAGAGGAAGACAAAATCGATACGACTTTGTTCAAACAAATTGTCGAATCTCTGAGATATGTGTGCAACAGTCAACTTGATATATATTTCTCAATCAGATTAGTGAGCAGATATATGAGTGAACCAAGGGTGTCACACATGAAGGCTGGAAGAAGAATCCTGAGATACTTAAAAGGATCGACAAACTATGAAATTTTATTTCGACGAGACTCTGAAACCAAAGAAGTTGTGGTTACTTGTTATTCAGATGTTGATTGGTGTGGAGATAATGAAGATCGAAGAAGCACTACTGGATATTTCTTTCAAGTATTTGGTGTCTCAATTTCGTGATGCTCGAGAAAGCAACCTGTGGTGGTATTGTCATCGTGTGGGGCTGAATATATACCAACATCATATGCTACGTGTCAAGCAATTTGGATCAGATATGTGTTGGAAGAAATCGAGGTCAAGTGAAGAAACCTCTGATACTGCAAATCGACAACAAGTCAGCCATAAATCTGACGAAGAATCCAGTTTTACATGGAAGGAGCAAGCACATCAAAGCTATATTTCATTTCCTTAGAGAGAAGGTGAATCGAGGTGAACTTGAAGTAAGACATTGCTCAAGTGAAGTACAATTGACCAACATTTTTACCAAAGAATTGAAGATCAACAAGTTCCTAACGTTGAGAAAGAAATTTGAAATAATTCAAATCGACAATGATTAGTGTATTTCGACAACTTGGATTATATAGGAGGTATGTTGAGATATTAAATATAATCCAAGTTGAATTATGTGTTCCAAGTCCAAAGTTAATTAGGGTTTGTTATTTATAGTTTGTTATTTTACTTAGTAGTCAAGTCACTTAGGTGTATATCAATAGACACTTTGTAATTCAATTTTATTATCATTCATTCAATAATATCAATCATTCTTCTCTGCTCACTAAAAGTGTCTCACACACTAAATCACTTATATCATAGAGAATCAAGAAACAACTCATTGTATCAAGGTCATCATCATTAGAGACATAATAAATAACATTGGCAGCTATAACATGTGAACTTCAATGGTTGCTTTATTTATTTAAAGATCTATAAATCAATTGCATTAAGTCACATGTTCATTACCAACAGAAACTAAAGTGAATTTCACTGCATCCACTCTAGATTTTCATGAAAGAAGAAAACATTTAGAAACTAATTGTTAACTGGTTGGTACAAATATGATGAAAGCTTTTGCCAATAACTTCAAAAGATAAGTTGACCGACTTCTTTACCAAACCATTGCTGCCACAATCTTTCCATACATTGCTATCCGAGTTGAAGATAGTAGAAATTTACCAACCTTCAACTTGGGGAGGATATTATATCCCGGAAATATAAATGCTTGCACTACAAGTAATGATAAGCTATATGAAAGTGCAACATAGTTAGAATGTAGCTTACAAGGTTGTTAGTTTGTTAAACTAGTTATTATGAGTTAGTTGCTCACAACACAAACTATACTATGATATGTGCAAGTGTAGCTTAGACTAAATGTGGTTTATCTACACAAGAAGACTTGTAATGATCATGATTTGCCAAGAGAATTACATTTTTCAAACTCTCCATTCTATTCCTTAGTAGAAAGAAATTCAAAGAAATCCAGAACTTTATACAAAAATCGGCCAAAAATGGTGGATCACTCAAATATAATTTTACATGTCAATGACATGATTGAAATCCAAAGTAAAGCTTATATGACTCCGCACGATTAACTACCTTCATCGTTTGTTGTAATTCACATGAACTTTCTTCTCTCTATTGTGATTCAATCAATCTCATATACATATAATCATATACATCAATACTCATAACAAAGTATGGTGAATAGAGCACTCTAAGTAGTAACATTACATGCAGAACAGTATGAGACAATTCCAATTTGCACTTACCATGGAAATGGAATAGACTCAATTCCAATTTCCAACCAATAAAATTTTGCTCCTATATGTACATTCCCTGCCACAACAAAATTAATGTTATAAACCAAGATTATATATTATATATGCAATGTGCATTTCATAACTGTTGAACTGAACTTACTATGAGCTTAGGAGATTTATGGACTTATGTATTCACATCTATGACCTATCGCGCAGACGCTGATGCTTCCATTGTATGGTTAAGAAGAGCATTGTATATTTTTTTGTCTCATGATGATTGGAAAAACTTTGAAACCTCTCTATAAAGTTGTTCCGCTTCAAACGGTTTTGAAACATATCCATCCATCCCATACTTTAAGCATTCCTCTTGTGTAGCCTGCATCACGTCTGCTGTCATAGCCAAAATCGGTAGATGAACGTACAATTCTTTGTTGTTCACGTTGTTTTCAATCTTTCGAATTCGCTGTGTAGCTTCAAACCTATAGGAAAATGGTTGTGTATTAGTTACATTTGTGTAAATATAGAATGAAACTTCGAGATTCATTTCAGGTGATAGTTATCAAGACGTTAGAAGAAAGAATTCGAGCTGCATACCCGTCCATTTCAGGCATTTGAATGTCCATGAAACATGCATCGAACTGATGAGGCGGTTTCAACATAGAGATGGCTTCTTTTCCACTGCTTACACAAACCACACTAGCTCCATATTTTTTTAAAGCACCAGCGGCTACGGTGCGGTTCACACTATTATCATCTACAATAAGAATCTTTCTCTTGGAAAGAAGATGGTGGAGAGACAAACCCTGATGTTCTCCGTTTCGAGGATTTCCTTTGTTCCCAACACCCATGGCTCTTTGTAGCGAAGCCGCTAGCATACTTGCTCTTAAAGGTTTTGTGACGACGGTTGGATTATGAACACATGAAGTCACAGAAGAACTTAGTCTAAAAGAACTAGTAGAATTAACAAGAACAAATAGTTTTGGAGGAATCCCTTTATCAACTTCAAGAATTTTCCTAATGTTATTCACAAATTGCGATGAAATGCCTGTGTCTCTTTCCCAAACCTCTTGTTCAATCAGGACCATATTGATAGCTACATTCCCATCGGTTACGGTGGACAAACCTTGCTTTAAATCTGATTTTATTTCAACATGAATTCCAAGCCGTTGAATGTGATATCTCGACACTTTAGCTCTAACAGGTCTCGGATCAATAACTAACGCAGCCATACCGTTAAACTCCGAGCATGCAGGATGAGGTTGGTTGCTGATTTTCTGAGTTTTAATTTCATTTGAATCAGGACATGCATTGGTGAAACGAGCCGTAAATGTGAAAGTGCTTCCAATGCCCGGTTCACTCACGAATCCGATTTCTCCCTTCATGAGGCCAACCAAACATTTGCTAATGCTTAAACCAATACCAGTTCCACCGTGTTTTCTCGAGATAGATGGATTTACCTGCATGAATGGAGTGAATATCTTCACCTGAGACTCTAGAGGAATACCTTCACCGGTATCCTCAACCGATACAATCAAATTGATGAGATCAGTGGAAGACGGGGACGAGAAATAGCCAAGAGGTCCCTCGTGACTGAAAGCTGTGAATCCTTCCCAGCTTCGGCGACCATTGGCAACCGGGGAACCACTTAACGTATCATCTGTTTCTTTAGTGAATTCTCGCTCAACTTCTATTGAATGGAAAACCTCCTCAACAAGATGGATAGTGACAAAGATATGTCCTTTGTCTGTGAACTGCCAAACGATCGCATAATTCAGTTTTCACAAAATGAATGAGTTGAAAGAGGGTAGATAGGACTTGATGATATATAATGTTTTTATTTGAATCCAATAGACTTACCTTAATCGAGTTACCCATGAGATTCGTAATTATTTGTCGAAACCTTCCTGGATCACCTATAAGCTGTTGAGGAACCTGATCCGAGACATAAACTGCTAACTGTGCTCCGAAAAAAGAATACAGCAAACATGAAAAGCTTGATAAGTTATGATTCTGGAATTTTCAACAAAGAAGTGGAAGCGAATCAGAAGAATAGACAGATATATATTACCTCTACTCCTTTTCCTTGAGATTTTTCCGAAAATAGGGACAATACATCATCCATGATTGCTCGTATGTCGAACATCACTGCCTCGAGCTCTAGCTTACCAGAATCAATTTTTGCCTGGTCCAAAACTTCGTTTATAATTGACACCAGAGCTTTTCCACTGCCTTGTGCAGTTCTGACATATTCCTGTTGTGTTACATCGAGATCGGTGTCCATGAGCATATTCATCATCCCTGAAGATTCAATTTAAGAACACGGTCACGGATGAAGAAACCGCGGAATGAATATACTTTGGATATTATGCATACATAGGCTGAGTTTTCAACTCACCTAAAACACCGTTCATTGGAGTTCTGATCTCGTGCGAAACAGTAGCCAGGAACTGCAATGTTGATAATTGATTCAGCTCATATGCCCAAAAAAGTTCAGAAATTAAATGCGACAACAAAAGTTACATACCTGAGATTTAGCAACATCGGCTGCCTCAGCTAGTTTTTTAAGCTCCGTCATCTTACGGCAAGCGTCCTCTACGTTGGCAATTCGATTCACAGTTGCATGACATATATGTCCAACAAGGAGTGCAATTACAAGGATGCCAAACGATGTAGTTATTGCCAGCCACGGCCATGGAGGTTTCTGCTTGAACCTGCAGTGCATCTCATGCTTTCTGAAAGGATCTCCAAAGTTAAGAAAGCTCACATGATAGAACTCATCACCCGATACATCAGAACCATACATCGGAATTGAATGTGTATGATTTGTCGTATCATACACACTAACAATTACACTTTGCTTGCTGGCAAGTTGCTGAAGCAATTTCTCGACTAACGATTCTATTTCAAACACCCCGCCAAGATACCTGCATAACCGTAAGTTAAATGATCAGAACGATTATCCCTAACAAATTATCAAGTTCATGAATTGCTTAATATGACGCAATAATATAGACATGATGGACAAATACACCAGTAATAATTTGAGAAAATAGAAATGATTGAATGTAACCACATTTTTCAGTATCTGACAGAGACACGTATCGAACATCAAACACGCTTTCAATAAGAACTAGAAGCTAGCTAACAAAGATTTAACAATTTCTAAAACTCATACACACCCATCAGTGGCTTGAATCCTTTCATTCGGGGTAGCGTTTGGCGGAAGATCTCTCTTGTAGACCGCAAACGTGAGGATAACACCTAGACGGTTTGTTTTCAACAGCCTGAAGGGAGCAGTTAAAACCCCTTTACCTGATTCTCTCGCACGCAGCACATTTTCACGGTCTTCCTGTTGATGAACACGTTAACAACAATAATGACTAGTACAAACAAACCGTAATTCCACAACAAAAAACTTACCTTTCCTGAAAGCACATCAATAGATATGACATGTGAAATTGTATCTTGTGCAAAAATGACAGGAGCATATTCTTCATGGATAGGTGACGGTTCCAATTCATCCGGTACATAATCATCCTCATGAACCGGGTTCTGCTCCATCGTATCCATCCTTTTAATACTCCACCCTTGTTGCTTCTCAAATTGTTCCCTTTCAGATTGAAGCACCCTTACAGCATATGCAACACCACTTGTAAGCGGCCTCTCAAAAGCTGTTCTTTCTGTATACTTCGCAAACGTTCTCTGCAAGTTTTACAAGTTATTACATTCATTCGTTAACATCAACATCACACTACCGATATATCAGCTTCAAAGAAAAAAAGATACATTTACTTCATTTCTATTCAAAAACAATAATTCATATGGTAAGACGCACAAAGTCCTCTTAAGCCAACTCAGTTGGTAGCTGTACAGAAACAACCGTCTGCGAGGGTGCGGGCTCGAACCCGCGTCACAAAAAAAGTAAAGACACATAAAATGGTACTCAATTGAATCAAATCTTTAATTGCAAGAGATTGAATAGAGATTAGGTGTACCTGGTCAATGGCAGAAGGATTCTTAGCATGATGGAAAGTTGAGATCAAAATCGACATGGCTTGAATATGATTCATACTAACATTAAACTGATCTTGAAGCATCCTAGCTCTTTCATCACACATACTAGCAAGAGTCTCTTTCCTCTTCTCAGTAACTTGCAGATTCATAAAACAAAAGATCCACAAAGACACAATACACCAACCCAAAACCCATGTCAACAACAATTTCCTCCACAACTTTCTCCTAACTTTCTTAGACCCAATACACTGATAATACTGTTGATGAATTCTACACACACTCCCCAAGATCTTCTCCCACCATTTAAGCCACATCTTGCCACCATCTCCTAAAAATCCCATCTTTGTGTCCATACTAATGAACCAGTTGATATAAATGATAGATACAATCCAGCAACATAGCACTAAAAGCAGATGTCCCACTTTTAGACCAAACCCAATTACATGAAGCAAACTCATCCACAACAGTTCCAAAGAATCTTCACAAGTAGTGAACTTCTGAGGAAAGGAATGGAAGCTCAATAAATGAAGTAGCAGTGAAGAGAATTCTTGAAAAATAAACAAGATTTCAAAGTGAACAGAAGAGGAACATGAGACATGACAACCTTGTTGACAAGATGCTATCTTATCCAACCAGAATGGTAAGGTAACACTAGAATATGAAAAATTCACACACGCCTTTAAAAGAATCAAAGAATCATCAGCAAGAGTTTCTAATTCCAAACATAAATTGATACTTGTTGTTATCTTGTCAGCCACAAGCTACCAAACCAAGAAGTGGAACAAAAAAAAGAAGGGCCAAAAACAAAACCTATAAAGATTCGTTTTTTAAGCTACCAAATCACTAGTTTTCAATAGTGAACTAAACCCACCACAACCTCAACAGTGTTTCTCCCCTCAGATTTTCAAAACCAAACAACAGAACCAAGACAGTGTTCAAGTTGAAGTTCAAGTTCAAGTACAAGTTTTGAAAGGTTTTAAAAGAAAGAACTCATTGGAGAATTTGCAAAAGACAGATAATAGGAATATGATAGCAACAGCAAACAATGTTTTCAGGTATTGGCCATTATCTCTTTTCAACTATCCACTTAAAAATAAAAAAAATATAAAAAGATAAATAAAAATATAATACAAAAAATGCACATTGTTGATATGAAAAAGTATATATAATAAAATATAGTAGAGAAGAGAAGAGAAGCAAAAAGGTTGGGTTCCACTTCCACTTAGCAGAAAACAGTGCTTTTATTTAATTTTTTTTTCTCCTTTTCTCAACTCAACTTTGTTTTGCTTTGTAGTTGTGTTCTCACATATCCCTATCCATCCATCCGTGCCACTAGACAAGTTCTACACGCTAAGTCGTTAACTCTGAGCCTTCTTCAGTGTGACTTTAACTTGTTGCATAGCTGTATTTTTTGATGACATAAATGACCCTGCATGGAACAAGAATTTCAACAATGAGTATATAAGCTTTTTTTGTGCGGAATGGCATTAGATACCTCTTACTTTTCCTAAATTGCCATGAGACACAGTATCAAATGCTAAAAGTAGGTAGGGAGTTAATAATGGCATTTGTCATATCATATTGGTAATCATGTTTGGTGCTATTCTATCAAGGTGTTACCATCTTCATTTTTACTTTTACTTCTTTTTTTTTTTTAATCCTCCAATTTTGGTAGTCTTTAGATAAAATACTTTAAATCTTTATTTAGAATTTTTATTTTTCTTATACTCTTGGTTTAGGGTGTTCTTAGATGTAATTGAATATTTAATTTGAAGAGTTTTTAAGAGAATAATTTATGGATTTGTTCGTAGATATTTTTAGTGAATAATTACGAGTTTAAAAGTTTGTGAGAATAATTTAAAAAAATTTAGAAGTAATTTTGTGGAAACACGTGTACAAAAAAATATGTATGTGAAGTGACTTTGAATGTCTGCATAGCATGCTGACAGAGTAAAGACAAACTTTAACGGTAAAATAGCTTGAATTAAACTAAAAGAACTATGTAATGAATGACATTAAATAAATGTAGAAAATGACAAAAAGTAAAATGTTTCAATTAAGGAAACACATAGAATAAAGAAAAGGAACAAAGACTCGTATGTTAGTCACAAAATGTTTCACACTTAGACTTGGGTACTTCAGTTCTATAAATAAAGTATATAAAATTTGCGACCTCAATTACAACATACGAAACTACTATATATACTAAACTAATGACAATTGTCTCCGACAGCTTATTCCTAAAGAATAGGCACGCCTTCAAGAACATGCAACTTGATCTTCTAATACATTGTCATGTCGTTAGTACTTGAAAATCATTATCCCACGTTCGTAACTGCTCTTACCAGCCTGTAAATGTTTGCTCGTTGAAGGTGATTGTTGTCAACGTTAAGAACGCTCTTTAGTGTTTGGTTTCCAAAATCTTCTAAGTCTTTGAAGTTCTTCGAATGCTTTGACTTTGACACAGTGTCGAATGATCAATTAGATCTATTCTTGGGGCTCCTCCAAACCATATCTCAAAATCTGCTCTTTAGATTCATCCAAACCATGGTTCAAGATACTAGTCAAAACACTCTAGTTGATGTACTCATTCCTGTCGAATTATGTCAATCAATGCTAACACTTAGCATTTTTCCAATGCAACATCCAATTGACTTGTTTTCAAATAGAAATTTCAAGCTAACCGATGCCCTAAAAAATGTCACTTTCGATCATATAGTCAGATGGAAGAAAGGTGGCATTTTTGTAACCCTTCGACACTATTTTCCCAAATTGTACATGTCATATCAACATAACTTTTTATTATTTAATTATTATTTATGGGTCATTATGACCATTAACTACCATAACGTCGCATCACAGGTGTGCGTGCAATTGATCATTGGCATCCCTATTTTCTAGGAGATTTAATTAAAATAAAAGTTAAGACAAAACTCTTTAAATCCATTTTTCATCTTTTTCGATGACCTTTTAGTGTCAATTGTCGACCTGAATGGGCCACATGTCCAAAATTATTTGGAGGGAAAAACTGAAACGTTTTCTTCCTTTGCTTATTTAACACTTTCTCACTCAGCCCTCTTCATTTTCACCATTTTCTTTTTCTGAAACACGTGTAAGAAAAAGAAACCCTAGAGTTTTTTTTTTTTTTTTGCAGTTTTCTTCTTCAGCATCACATTCCTTCTTAAGAAAATCTTTGAGATCAATAATTATTCCAAAACTTCAAACACGTCCCACATTGGATGTTGTCACTGAATAACCACTTTACCTTAATGATTGCACCAACATTCCTAAACCTTCTATGGAGGATGGATGAAGAAATATCTGGTACATCACTACTCTGACTCCTCACTCTATTACAAGTATGATTTACACTTTCATGGATCCTCCCCCTAAGTGTTCTAAGAAACCCTAAGTGCTGAAAGAGTTTTTTCCTTGCTTCCCTGGTTTTGAACCTTTGGTGTCTGTTGATGCACCCTTCAGTTTTAGCTTTTTTCAAGAATATGGTCTTTTGTTCTTCTCCACCAATTGAGGATGCTTCTTACATCCAACGGTTAGATATGGTCCAAGAAAAGAAGAAATGTTTTTGGAAAAATTTGGGCATCTTTGACCTAATCCATCTGTCACGAGTTGGTCTAAAATATAAGTCTCACATGCTCATTAAAGCCATGTGCTTATAGGATAGCTTGACCAACATTTTTCACCTTCCTTGTGGGATGATAACTCCCCCACTTTTTGACATCGCTGCTATTGTTGGCCTTCGACCAACTAGGGAGAGTTTTTAGCCTTCAACCAAAACCAAATTTGGGTTCACTTTCACCAAGACTACCTATAACTCCTTCATTGAAGATCATCATGCTTTAACAGATCGAGTGAATGCCCAGGAACACATTGCTTTTTTGACCTACTAGCTTTCCCATTGTGTTTTCTGTGCTTGATCCATTCAGGTAGCTACGAAATTTGTCCCCTTGGCCACCCAATTCTATGAAGGAAGAAAAATTTTCCTCAACAAACTCATTCTCTGTGGCTTATATGAACCTCTAGGGTTAGCCTCTCAATATCTGAAGAAAAGAAGAAATGCTAAAAGCCTTCAAGTAGGTGGCCCCATCTGGATTTTACAATTGTGGCACAATGCCATTTTTGAGCCTTCCCTAAAAATTAGAATTCCTTCTAACACAAAGGTAGGGGTCGAAGGTCCAAGGCTCGACCAAATTACTCCTGACAATGGAAAAGTTATGTCTAGAGAGGTATTTGAAACTTACTTCTAAATGTTCTAAAGGTGTAAGATGTTTACTTCGACTATGGAACCATTTGATAGTCGACAATGTGGACATGAATGGTTCAGAAAACCATTTCTTAATTCTTCCCGTCAAGAAGAAAGGGAAATACATGCTACTTTTCTCGCATGCCTCCAACCCACCGCTCTATGGACAAAGCTTGCCTCCTCAAAATTAGGACTAAGAGCAATTGCTTACCATCCAAACTTAGCAGCCAGATAATTTGGTTTAAGCTAACTGTTGCCTAAAATCCTAGTTTCATCTATTCGTTCAAATTTTCTCTCTCATACCATTGCACCCAAGAGTTTGAGGAATGTTAGGCGCTTCATTACGCCAATGTGCCAGATAATACACTCATGGCCCATTGCTTGGTAGATGTTTTCTCTTTCTTGACATTACTGCTATTGTTGGCCTTCGACCAACTAGTGATACTTTTGTGCCTTCAACCAAAACCAAAACCAACCCTGGATTCACTTTTGCCAGGACTGCTTACAACTCCTTCATTGAAGATCATCATGCTTTGACAGATCGAGTGAATGCCCAGGAAGATATTGCTTTTCTGACTTACTGGCTTTCCCAGTATGTTTTATGTGCTCGATTTGTTCATGTAGCTAAGAAATTTCTCCCCTTGGCCACCCAATTCCCTGAAGGAATAAAAATTTGCCTCAACATACTCATTCTCTATGTCTTGTATGAACATCTAGGGTTAGCCTCCCAATACCTAAAGAAAAGAAGAAATCCTAAAAGTCTTCAAGTAGGTGGCCCTATCTAGATTTTACAATTGTGGCACAATGCCACTTTCGAGCCTTCCCTAAAAACTAGAATTCCTTCTAACACAAAGATAGGGGTCGAAGGTCTAAGGCTCGACCAACTTACTTTTGACAATGGAAAAGTTGTGTCTAAGGAGGTATTTGAAACTTACTTCCAAATGTTCTACAGGTGTAAGACGTTTACTTCGACTATGGCACCATTTGACAGTCAACGGTGTGGACATGAATGGTTCAAAAAACCATTTCTTAATTTGTCCCGTCAAGAAGAAAGGGAAATACATGCTACTTTTCTCGCATGCCTCCAACCCACCGCTCTATGGACAAAGCTCACCTCCTCAAAATCAGGACTAAGAGCAGTTGCTTACCATCCAAACTTGGCAGCCAGACAGTTTGGTTTAAGCCAATTGTTGCCTA